CCTTAACCGGACCGGATTGGCCGCGGTCCGGTTCTAAAAACCGGCACTATTCATGCCGGTACCGGTACCGGGTCGGGCCGGGTCGGTACCGGGTCACGGGTCGGGTTGGCCCGTGGCCATGTCTATTTGGAAGTAATGAATAGTTAAAATTATGTGAGTGAATGAATAGTGAATTAAAGTTTGATGTGATGTGTGAGGATGATTGATTGGTATTTAATTGTAAATATTGAGGAGAGTTAGGTTTTGTTAAATTTAAGTTATATTTTGATTTAAAAAAATTATTGATCTAAAGTAAAAGTGACCAGATTTCTTACAAACAATCAAGGCCTTGCGATGCTTGGATATTATATTTGATTTTGTTTGGATTTTTTGGTTTGGTGTGGTTAATTTTGAAAAATGTGGTATGGTTAGTTAGTGGGATTTTGAGTTTACATTCAAATAATATTTAAAATAATAGTATTTAAAATAAAATAATTAAAATTAATTTGATGTAAAAGTATGAGAGAGAAGATGTGAAGTGATGATTAATTAAATTTATAGTTAATTAAAATTGATGTAATGTGGAAGAATGATTGAGTGGTATCATTTAATTATATTGATAATATTGAATATACCGGGGTTGAGTTAAGGTTGAGTTAAAAAAGTGATTGGTTAAAAATGATTGGAATTTTTTGGAAAAATTTTGTATCCCAGCATAACTAACTATTCCTCTCCCTGGGAGAGGTCCAATAGTGTTATGCTGGCCGATCATAACTAACTATTCCTCTCCCTGGGAGAGGTCCAATAGTTAATTAAAATTTTGTATCCCAGCATAACTAACTATTCCTCTCCCAGCATAAATAATACGGTATCATTTAATTATATTGATAAATTTTTTGGAAAAATTTATAGTGTCAACCGATCAAAGTCGATCCCTTATCAACCCTGAAACGGGTCTTCCTAAATAATCGCAGAGGGCTGATTTTTGAGTTTTTTGAATTACTCGGGCAATTTTAAACTGTGAGCCTTTATGTTGCTTTGTGTTTAGTGAAATCAGTTCCTTGCAGAAGTTTTAACTTTTCAGACCTGTTGTTTGCTTCTATATTATTGGCACCATGTTGTATAAACATTTTGTTATTAAATGATGAAAAATAAATGCCAGTTAGGTCCCCGTTTCATAATGTCTCGGTTGCAGGCTAATATTTTAATTTTTGCCCTTTTCTTCACGGTTGAGGCAGTTTTTGAATTTTCATTTTTTTTTTCCTCGTACTTTGTATATTTGTTCGTCGTTTGCTGATTCACATAGGTTGCATGGAGAGAGAACAGGAGAGAGGGTTCGTGTTGTGTTGTGTTTTATGTTTTGAAAGTTTCATATATAAGTTTCGAGTCGAAGTTTCGATGTAATTTCCTTGGATTTTGGGAAGAATTTTTTCAGTTTTACAGTGGCCGTTCTGTCTAAAATTTTCTTTCACATATCTTTCATACCCACCCTTACTCTGAACAAGTGCTTAGTCCAACTGCAGTTAAAAATGTGGTGTGCTCATGTATTTCACAAGGTAAGTCAAAGTGACACAAAATTTGAGTATAAGAATGGTTTCTATTCATTCATCACTTGTGTAGCGATGGGTACTATGAAATTATTATGGCAAGATTCAAGATAAATTTTATGGTGAACTTCAAGATGAAAATTTTCCTGAGTTTATGTATAACTTCTAAAGTTTTACCGATTTGGCAAAAGACTCTTTTTGTAAGGACTCATTATTGATAGGTAATTATATCATATGCATATAAAACGTATATATATTTTAGTTATTGATGATTAATTTATATAAATGTTATACCTAAAAGACTCTGTATTTATTGCATGAATGGTAATTATATCTTAGAGGAAATTGCACCCCTTACATTGCCCTTTAAATTTTATTACATTTTTCCACTCCAAATATATTTATTTTTATTTTTATCTAAAGAAGCTAAAAAATTATCAAATATACCTAAAATCTCACTTAACACTTTTTAACCTATTTTTAATGGTAAAGAGATAATTAAGGGTTTCAAATATCTTATACCAAAAAAAAAGTGGAAGAACAAAAAGGTGAAGAACCGCCCCCCCACCTTCTCCCGTCAGAATTTTTTTTCAGAAACCACCTCAATTTTTTTCGCCCATTTCAACAATCAATGGTAAAAACCAAACTCCCTCAACCTAATCGTAGAGATCCGGTAGATGTTGGTGATGTTTCACCGGTTATAAGGTAACTGAGTTGAGAACGTTACAAGGTAACTGATAATGATTCGATCTCTTAAAAAATATAGCTGGATTAGGTATATTTGAAAATACTTTTAAATAAGGATAAGATTGAAAATACTTTAATATCTAGTAGGAGGTGCAAAAATTTCCCTATATCTTATGCATATCAAGAATAAAACTTATATTTTAGTATTGGAAAGCCTAAAATTGACTCGTTCAAAAGCCCAAAGCGATCTGGACTAAAGCAAATCTCGGGCTCAATATCACTGTTTCGGCTCAAGTTACAGGCCCAACTATACGTGTGGCTGTAAATAAAATTTCCCTTCAATTCCAAGACAAAAGAAACCTATTTCAATTCCCGCGTTCTAATTACCTTCAAGCGATCAACCCCAAACTCCATGAAGGCTCTCGATCAGGTGCTTCCTTGCTTAATTTCATAATTTAATTGCTCAAATTTCGACTCCAATGAATTTTCTTGTTTCATTAACAGCAAATTGGAATTATCTTTTAATTTTTTTTCCGAATTTTATCTCGATAAGGAAGTGAAATCTGGTTCTGGCTCTGATTATGGATCAGAGAATAGAAAAACCGGGCCCGATGATGATGCATTAGCTGCTTCTTCTAATAAACAAGCAGTTTCTGATACTGATATATTCGAGGAGGTACGTAGAGTTCTTCTCCTCGACTGTCGGGCTTCAAATTTTTTTTTTTTTTTTTTTTAATGATGTCGAGGATTCTCCTTTCTAAGGACCAATTGCTTAATTATGACTGTGTGTTGATTTTTATCATTCGATTTGGGGAAGTATGGCTCGAATGCTCGATTGGGTTCATATTTTAATTCGACGACAGTGCGCTTATGATTCAAGCGAATTATACGTGTATTAATTGGTAAATATATTTGTTGTTGGTTTGGTTTTTAATTGGGTCACGAGAAGGATTATGAGGATCAATTGTTTCATTATTATTGTGCGTTGATTTCTATCGTTCAATTCGGGGAATCATCGCTCGATTATATGAACTCGACAACATGTGTCGTTGTTATGATACAGAACGGACTATTCGTTAGTAATATGCTTGTTGTTGGTTTGCTTTTCCATTGAATGAATTCAATTGAAAATATTTGTGTGCAATGAATGAATGATGTTCTGTAATGGAAATATTTGAGTGTTTAATGAATGATCTTTCCATTAGGAACTCAAATCTGGTTCAACATCTGAGAGAAAGGAGAGAAAGGTAGAGCCTGATGATGCATCTTTTCCCACTTCTGTCGCTAAGAAACCGGAAACCTCTGATGTCGGCACTACTATTGGGCATGTATGTAGAAAGCTTCTCACTGGCCTTAGTTGTTTTCATGACATGAAAGACACTCTTTTTTTTTTTTTAAATTATTGTACATTGATTTCTGTTGGATTGGTTTGATTCCTTTTAAATGGTTCCCAGGATGAGGAGGAGGAGGTTGATATGGATACTGACTATCTTGAGAATGCACCACCCGTGTTTGAGTTAAAGTATCAGACTACTCTTGATATGAAAGTAAGTCTATTTTATTTTAACCCAAAAAAAAAACTATGCACGATGAATTGATTATTTGTTTTTTGTTTTTTTTTTAAAAAAAATTTTACCTCCTCTTTTGTGTTGGTTGGGTAAATTTACTCCTGAAATTAAGGGTTCTAAAGCATTTTATTTAGTTTCATTACTCTTATGAATGATATAGGATGATGATTTGAAAGATGAGCTTGCTAAACATTTTGATCGTGGATCAGACCAATTCAAGACGGCACTTCAAATTGTAAGTGATACATACACTTGATGTTGTATTAAGCTACGGGTTTTACATACCTGTCACAATACTATTAAACCTTTGAAGTTGTTGTGCTCGTGTCATTTGTGTCTACTACTTATTCATGAAGCTTTTCCAATTGAATGGTTATGCACTGCGTAACGATATTCCTGATGGCTGGCCTTTTGCTGATAAATTAAATGTTAGCTCTAATTTATTGTGATTATTCAATTTCAGATGGGTGATGATCTGCGTGCTTATAAGGCGGCTCGACTTGGCAGGGTTTCTGATCATCCTAATGGCGGTACCGTTTATGTGGGAGCTTTATTGCACGAAGATGGTAGTCTTTTGTGTTCATTCTTTAACTGAAGAATTGTACACTTCCGCATGGGCTTATGCAATCAAACCTGTTTGAGTTTTGCCTATTATGATTTTTTGAAAAATATTGTTTAACAAGTCGGATTGCAGCCGTAGACAGGAATATTTTTACGCTAACAAGGTCATCGTTTGCCGATATATAACTACATCACCATTCCATCCTTCATTGTCCTTAAGCTTGTCTTTTTTTTTTTCAACAACAACAATTCCAACAAACTAAAAAACTACAAAGTACAAGAGTTCGAGCAATCAACGAATTACATAGGCCTTAATAGCCTCACAGCCACTAAAAACCCTACAAGGGACTCTACACGAAGGCCTCCCTACAAGACCACATCGGTCGAACAAATACCAACACAAACAACTTAACAGAAACAATAAGAGGAAAACAAGGAACATAATTGTACAATGTCTTCAACAACAACAGTAAGATTACCAGAAAAACCAAAATAATAAGAGGAAAACAAGGAACATAATTGTACATTGTATTCAACAACAAAAGTAAGATTACAAGGAAAACCAACAGGAGTTTGTAACCTTGTACACAAGCTTTTATCTTTAAACACTAGCACCACCTTGTCCCAACCTATAGCAGCACCTTGCCCGAGCCATATTCTTATATTTAGTATGATCTCTTCCTCATCAACCTAAACCTGATCATGGGAAATTCTCCACTCAGCTACCTCCACTCCATTTTTAAAAGCCTAGCCCTAACAGAGTTTGATCATCAGAATATGAGCATTTTGCACTGACTTCAGCAACCTGATGTCCTACTCTTGTGCTCCCATCTGCTCCCAATTCAACTTTGTTTTGTAGGCAGTTGACACTTTCTCTCCTAACCTCTTGGTGAGCTTCTTCAAACTCTAACCAATCACACATTGCCTTTTGCACCAGCTGCTGTTCCTCGAAAATTTATCCTCTAAAGATCCAATTATTTCGAGTTCTCCACAGCCACCATAAGAGATGTAGAAAGACTCGCTCTATCTGTGTAATTTTTGGTCTTTGTGGATTGAACAGAGGTCCACCCACCATTCTTGAAATGTGAAAGATTGTTGTTGCATCTTAGTCCACTCAAGGCCAGCTATCTTCCACACTTTTGCTGCTCTGTCACATTTGAAGAAGAGATGTTCCAGGTCTTCTTTATCAGCTCCACACCAACAGCAGGTCTCGTCTCCTTCCACTCCTTTCTGCTTGAGTCTTGTTTTGGTTCCCAAGAAATCATGCCAGCATCTTCAGATAAATGTTCTGATTTTTGGATAAATCCCATGTTCTTCTCCACATTGTCTGTTTGAACTTTGTGCTCCCACTAGCTTCTTCTCTTTCCTGCATATCTCTGGCCTTGCTCAAGATTAGGTTATAAGCCCCTTTCACAGTCAACTTTCCTTTTCTGTCAGCATCCTAGACTAATCTATCCCTCACACCCCACTGACTAATATGATTCCTAAGAATATTTTCAGCATCTGCTGGACAAAAAAATTGTCTAATGAACTCTTCATCCCAGCACTTCCCCCATGCCATAAAAAGATCAGAAACTTTACACAAGGAATCTCTATCAATCTTAAAGTTACACACATGAGTAAAATTAGGAGAAGTGGGTATCCAAGGGTTCTCCCAAATCTTAACGGCTAACCCATTTCCTATCTGATGTCTAAGCCCTGCCTTCAAGTGCTCCATAACCCCAAGCCAACTTTTTTACATCCAGAAACCAGCGCTTTTCTTGGCCACATTCATTAAGTTTTGTTCATGGAAATATTTACCCCCTAATGACCTTACTCATATAAGTTTAGGGCATGTCGAAATTCTCCATAGCTGCTTTAAAATCAATGCTTCATTCAAGGCCCCAACTACTTAAAGCCCAACCTCCCATCTATCTCAAACTCGATAAAAACATTTCCATAGGAAAAAACGATGAAGTTCCTGAGAGAAGAATGCATGTTCATAGTGAAAGGAAACCACAAACAATTTTGTAATTATAGATTTCCACTCGTATTGAAGAAAAATTTGTAGAGTTGTCAAAATCTTGTCCTCCACTATGATCGGATGTGACGACGAGAACTTAAACAAGCCAAAAGGTGTATTTACCTCACTCACGAAGCCAAAAATAATATTTATTCAAACCTTTAAAGCTATCATCAACATCTACTGTACCGCAGTGATTCGCTAATTCAAACCCATTATTCATTTTTTGGCTTAACGTAAGAAAAATTTTTTTGTCATTCTATAAGAAAGATTTTTTCATTTTTGATTCATAAAAACCAAGCCTTCGATTGGGATTGGCTTGTTGGCCGGCTTTCGCGAGGAGTCCTATGAATGCCGCATGTGGTAGCAAAGGTTATTTATTTAGGGTCTCCTACTTTAAGTGGAAAACATACAACCTGCACAGGAAAATCAACTAAAATTCATGACCCACAAGGAAGTCCTAGACATAGCCATCATCGAGTCATGGGACTTGAATAAAATTGCCCGTCTCTCTGCCTTATTCAAAGTCATACTCCACAGAAGAAAATAAAATAAAAAAATCCATGTATGACAATTGAAAAATTGCATATATTGGTAAGAAAATGTCTGAAGGTTACGACTATTACGTCCAGAGCAAACGACAAACCGAAGCTGAACATTTGATAAAAACAACAGACCTCGTTTTGAAGCTGAAGTAAAATTGTACACTTCTCTCGGATTTGAAGCCTTAGAGCATGTTTGTTTATGGAAATTTTCAAAAAAAATCCCACATTTTAACTCAACCACTTTTTTTAACTCAACTTTAACTCAACCCACTGTCATCAATTATTATCAATATAATTAACTAATATCAATCAATCATTCATACACACTACATCAACATTAATTCACTATTCATCCACTCACATTATTTTAACTAACCATCATATCAAACCATCTCTCTCCTACTTTTATATTAAATCATTTTAACTATTTTATTTAAATATTATTTTAATATACCCACTAACAACTAACCATACCACCTTTTTCAAAAATAACCAAACCAAAAAATCCAAACAAAACCAAAAAATTCTATAAACAAACATGCTCTTAGTTCTCGAAGTTCTTGCTCCATGTCCACTACCTTAAGTATAGACAGAATTGAGTAAAATAAAATGTAAAATTGCAAAAACATACAAGCTGAAGATATAAACTCATAATTCTAGAAGAAGAACTCATGCTATTATATGCTAAACTCATAATCACTTGAGCCTGTTTAAAAAACTTAATAATCAAGAACTCCATTTGACCAAACGGTAAATGCATTTTCTGTCCGGCCTGATAAAAGTTATAAATTGGAAATAACCATAGTATTTCCAATTTTTTGGAAATGTAGAAAGGCAACAAACAAGATAATTTTCAATGCACCTTTCTAGGTTGATGCAGAAGTTTAATTCTTCGGGCCTCTTGAACCTCCTCAATTAGTCTCTTCATTTCCTATAAGCATAAAATCCCGAGTCCAAAGTTTTTTTTTTCACACATATAGCAATGTTTCATTTATATGGGAAAAACAAAAAAAAAAGAAATAGCAAAACATTTCCACAGTTACCTGCTCTGAGCTTTGGTTTCTTTCTTGTTCCTCTAAAGCCTCCCCAATCCTCTGAACAACAGCGCTCTTGCACTCTTGACTTCAGCGCAGGCAAAAGATTTCTCATGGTTGACCAACTTTTTAGAGAGCATGTTTGTTTATAAAAAATTTCCAACACTTTAACTCAACCAATTTTTTTGACTCAACAATACTATTATCATTATAATTAAATAATATCAATCAATCAATCATTCATACACACCACATCAATCTTAATTCACTATTCATCTATTCACATAATTTTAACTAACCATCACATCACATCTTCTCTCTCCTACTTTAAAATCAATTTTATTTTAATCATTTTAATAAATCCACTAACTAACTAAACCAAAAAAATCCAAACAAGCTCAAAAAATTTCATGAACAAACATGCTCTTAGCATCTTCAGAAGTCTGCATGAACAAATAAATAAATAGTAAGTGTAAAAAAAAAAAGAAGAAAAAAGAAATTGCATTTGACGTGAGAAATAAACAAATATAAATGCACAAGGTCTGATGTGTGATATCTCACAATTACCAATTACCTAACACTTTTTTATTGTTACATTAAATTTAAGGTGGGAAGTTTATGCAGCTATTGTTTATAGGAATGCTAGCATGTTCTGAAAAAATTCAAATTCTGTAAAACTGATACTATAGTGTTGTGACAAAGTCGAGAAAGTTCGTACCAGTGGCATCTCACCTCCACCCTTTCCTTCAACACAATCACGGGTCTCCGGCGGCGAACCTCCTTCCCTCGAGTTTTCTCCCTTCTCTATCGACTGAGTAGAGTAATCTCCAAAACGAGAAAGATTATCCCAGTCAACTCCTATGCTCGACAATCTGGGGTCATTCTTTGTTTAATTTTTCAATAAGCCTAGTTTTGTCTTGACATCGTTAAAATCTTTTATCGGAGGCTCAACACCATCATCACTAGTGAACAATATATATATATATATATATATTGTTCATTATCATTGCTTCCCTCGCCTTTCCCCAGTAATTTAGCAGATTGAGGTGGCTTTCCATGGGTGTCCTCCCCAAGTCAAAGTGTTGGCATATGAATCTCTCAGCAACTCTGAAACGATCAGCCTCCAACAATTGATAAATTATCGACAAGAGACTTCTTCTGTAGTCGTTTCCACTATAATCAGTGGAAACTATCAGCAATGCATGATGAATACTTTCACTCCCAATTATCAGGTTATTGGGTAATCTACGTCCATCGAGGTTAGTGTATTGCCCTGTATAAGGGAGGGCAAATACAACGAGAAACAACTCATCTCATCGTTAAATTGAATCATTTGTGTCCCATTATGGAAGGCCGTGAGATACAGGTTGTCCCCTCAAACATACAACTTTATCATCCTTTCATTAGAAAAAAAATGACCTCTACAATCATTTTTTTCTTGTGCTCAAAATTT